GGTCTAAGGCGAGACCAGGCTCGGCCTGCTGGAGGCCCGGAGGACAGCAGAGCGGCTGGGCGGGACACGGGGAGGCCGAGTCCGGGAGGGTGGCACGGCCGTCCTGGAAGCGAAGAAGGCTGTGTACAGATAACATTACCCTTAGCAGGGCCAGCCGGTGGCATGGTGGTAGACTCCCACTGGCCGACTGCAGTTTAAGTCCTGGGCCTGGTGGCTGGCTTTCTCACTTTCTCTCTTCCGCTCTCTCTGTTAGTGCGTGTGCCCTATAGCAATTAAAATAATAATGATAATAAATTAAATTAATAATTATTTTTTAAAAGGGGGTGGGGCTGGCTTTGGTGGTTAAAGGTGCTGGACTTCCACATGTCTGACCGTAATTCTGGTCCCAGACCTGGTGGCTTGCTTTCTCACTTTCCCTTTCTCACTCTGTCTTTCCCTTGACAAGCTAAAAATGAATGATGATAAATATAATTAAATAAATAATTATTTTTAAAAAATAATGTGCCAGAAAGTACATGCATTCAACAGAGAGAGAGAAAGAGGGAAGGTGAGAAAGCACCCCTTAAAGGGGATGGCCACGCCACAATCCCTTCTCCATTCTCCTCTTGGGATTTTGGGCATGCATGCACATGCGCCTGGCCATGAGGGATCCAGCCACCCTAACCACCATGTCACGGGCCTCACAACCCTTTTCCCACCAGTTCTCCATCCCATCAGGATCCTGGACACACAGAAGCTCAGTGTGTTTTCTTTCTTTTTCTTTTTTTGGGGGGGAGGTTTTTGCTATAAGGTGCGTGCTCACCAGAAAGAGACAAAAAGTGAGAATCACCCCCTGGGGGAATGGTCATGCTGCAATCTCTTCTCCATTCTCCTCTCGGGGTCTTGGGCACGCACGCACATGTGCCCAACGTGAGTTTTAAGCCACAGGGTCCGGGACGCGAACTGTGGTCAACTACGTGGGAGTCCAGCGACATAGCCATCACGCTAACTGCTGGTCCCCCTCAGTGTGTTTTCAAGCTAATGGGGCCAGGACTCAAACCCTGGTTGGCGGAGTGGGATCCAGCTTCCTCGGTGCAGGCCTAGTCACTGTGCTGAAGTGTTGGCCCTCTTCTTGTATACTTCTAAAGTTTGAAACTAGGAGTGCATGTTATCACTGAGTGCTCTCTTAGAGACCACATTGCTGTGAAGCCAGCAGGTGGCATGGTGGTTAAGGTGCTGGACCCTCCCACATGACTGACCATGGTTTGAGTCCTGGACCTGGTGGCTTGCTTTCTCACTTTCTCTCTCTCTCCCTCTCTCTGGTCAAATTTAAAAAATAACAATAAATGAATAAATAAAATAAAAACAATTCTTTAAAAAAAAAAAAAGACTACGTTGCTATGTTGAACGTTGTTGAGGAGTCAGGACCTAGCGTTGTCTCAAAGATCAAGACTGAAAGTGTCTGCACAGACAGACCCCACACCTGCTGAGTTTAAAGCTATTGCAAAATAATACATCCCACATGAATATTTTCTATTTTGTTACCAAATGACAAAATTTTATTTATTTATTCTTGATTGCTAGAGAGTACAAGAATCTGCCAGAGAGAGACAGAGGCGGAGGGAGGGGGCGACACAGAAAGCACCCCGGTGGAGCGTGTTCATGCTGCAGTCCCTTCTCCATGTCCCCATCCTGTAGGATCTGCGGCATGCACACACACATACACAAACCACTGGGACCAGGATTTGAACTGTGGTCAGCCACGTGAGATCCAGCACCCCCAACCATTAGGCCACAAGGCTAGCCCCCAACAATATGTTACATGTTCTGTGCGTCATTTATTTAAGTGTATTAAAATGCTAGATATCTGGCCAGCAGGTGGCGTGGTGGTTAGGGTGCTGGATCCACACAGCCAGCTGCACAGTTCAAGTCCCGGGCCCCAGTGGCTTGAAAATCACGCCGGACGTGTGTGGATGCCTGCCCAAAATCCTGAGAAGAGAATGGAGAAAAAAGGATTGTGGTGGCCATCCCCCCAGGGTGATCTCTCTCTCCCTCTCTGTCTCTCTGGCAAGTGCACACATCCTACAGCAAAACCTGAAGAGTAACAACCAACTGCATATCCACAAAACCCATAAAGGCGGCACTAGTGGTGACAGAAGCTGATGTCCTATTTCCTCTCGGGGTAAATGAAGCGAAGTATTGTTCAAATAATTCACAATTAATGTTTAAAACGAAGTGCTCCTTTGGCTCCTGGGGCGAGGCCATTCCAGGGCACCTCGGAAGCAGTGGCCCGAGCAGTGGGTGCTGAGGGACCAGCGCACAGACGGGGCAGGGTCGGCAGCTCTGAGTCTAAGCCACAAAGAGGGACGGGTTAGGCTGGAGAGGGACGTGGAGTCCAGGGAAGGTTTTAGGATTTTGTTGTTTTTGTTTGTTGAGTTTTCTAGAGGGTACCTGTGCCCTATGGGGGGGGGGTGTGAGACAGTGAGTACCCGTGTGCAGGGGATGGCCACGCTGCACCCCTCTCTGCTCTTTCGGTGTTCTGCCATGAATGCACACGTGCCTGGCGTGTTTTTCAAGCCACAGGGTCTGGGGCTCGAACTGCACAGTCAATGCTCTGGGATCCAGCTGCCGAACCAGCATGCCACCAGCTGGCCCAAGGGAAGGTTTTTTTTAAGATGAGAGATGCAGAGGAAGCCGGCTAGAGAGGGCGAAGGAGGGGTCAGAAGACCGACGCACGGTCCCCGGGAAGTAGGCTGGTGGCCCAGAGCCCCATGCAAGCCGCGGCCTGTGCGCTGGCCCTGGAGCCTGTCCAGTGTGTTCTCCTGGACCTCCAGCCCTAGCTCATGGCCCCTCCGCCAATGTCTGTGAAGGCCTGGTCCTGGTCAGCATGGCACCCGCGGCGGCCGGCCAGCAGAGGGCAGCCTCAGCCTTCTAAGGAAAGCCCTAAGTTGCAGGAGCCACTTGCAAAGTACAAGGGTCTGGAGATCCCGCCACAGGGGGGCGCTGAGGCCACTCGGGCCTGGCATTGCGTGCCAGCCCAGCCAGCCCCTCCGGCGGGTCCGGGAGAGACCAGAGCGACAGTCCGAGACCACAGTGCCCAACCCGGCTGCCTCCTCCAGTCCCCAGGCGAGCTCGGCCTCTGTGCCTTACACCCGGCAGGTTACACGCACCCTCCCGGGGCCGTGGTCAGAGTCTCGCTAAACCCTCTCGCCTCCGGGGCTGTGGGAGGACAAACGCCAGGCGCCTGGCCCGCAAACGCGCTCAGCAAACCGCGGCGCGCTCACGGCCCTGCTGTCCTGAGCCCCAACACCCACAGCTCTTCCTGTTGAAGGCCGGCCGGAGGGTAGAGGCAAAAGGGCCCGACCTCTGTGTTTCCAGAAGCAAAGAACTCTGGTCTGCAAGGTTAAGTCCCAGACAAGGCCGGACTGAAAAGGACCCTGCTCCTCTTGGTCGGCATGGAGGCCCAGCGTGCCCCAGGAGGCCACAGGAGGCCACAGAAGGCTGCAGGGAGGGCAAAAGTCTGGCTGGGCTGCCAGCAGGCCGTGTGCCCCAGTGTCCTCGACCGTGAAGCAGCACTGCCTCCTCCTGCACACTCACAGGGGCTCGGTAAGTGACATGCACCAACCCAGGTGTGCAAAGCAAGAGCGCGTGCACAGCCCCGAAGCAGAGCCTCGGCAGCACACAGAGCCTCCCACGTGACGCCCCTTCTCACTCTCACCGGTGCACCCCTCTCCCACCCGGAGTCACTCCAGCCCTGGCATCCTGCCTGTTCCAGGAAACCTTCCTAGAACTCAGAACATCCAGCTATTTGGCTGACCAAGGTATCATGACCCCGGCCCGCCAGGCTTTCTCCCATTTGGGACCTATGAACTTTCCACTCCCTCTCCCTAGAACACTCTCCCCAGTTCCCAGCTGGCCCCCTCTGCCCCTCCAGGGCTGTACTGGGACCTCAGTGAAGCCTTCTTCCAGGCGTCACCCTCTCAACACTGTCTGCTTCCCTTCCCTGCTTTCCCCCCACAATGCTTAAGTCTAAAATACCGTTATCTCAGTCCATTTGTTTATTCCTCAGAAAGCAAGCTCCAGGAAGGAAAGACATTTTTATTTTGTTCAAGGCTAAATCCCCACCTGGAATAGCACTCGGTCCTGCAGTGGGAACTCGATCGACATTTGCTCAAAGAACACATGAGATGTTCAGTGCAGTACCGAGCAGACTTCCCAGCTGAGCGGCTTTAACGAGCTATAAAGTCAAGAATGGAACAGGATAGGCTCCAACTGCAGGGCAGCGGTCTGCCCTGCTCCACACCGCGTGGCCGGCCGGCACAGTGCTGGAAATGCTGGATGGGGGATGAGGGTAGGTAAGAAAGACGATTGAAGGGCGGGGGGAGGTGAAGACAAGGGCGGAAAATCCACCTGGGGACACCCCCGTAGAAAGGCACCAACGAAACTCTAAAAGGATTCGTTAGGAAAATGTAACAGTAGGTGGCGTGGAGGTTAAGGCACTGGATCCGACATAGCTGAATGAGCGGTTTGAGTCCCAGACCCTGCGGCTTCAAAAACACACTGGCACGCGCGCGAGTGTGCCCAAAATCCCGAGAGGACACTGGAGAAGGGATTATGTCATGGCCATCCCCACAGGGGTGACTGGGTGATTTCTCACTTCTCTCTCTGTCTTTCCCTGGCAAGAGCATACACCCTGTAGTGAAAAAAAAAAAAAAAGAAAGAAAAGAAAATGCCCGGTCACACGTTAAGACAAAGAAAACCAACAACACAGAGGCGCTTTGGTTTTGTCTTAATTAGCAGAAGACCACATAAAGCTCCAGGCCAGGAAATTTGAAAACCTCCAGTTTGGGACCTCCAGAGGGACAAATTCCACGCTCAGCTCCTCCTCCCTCATCCCTTGAGCACCCCCACCCCCGTGAGTGGCCTCCCCAACACAAATCCCACCTGCTCCCCAGGGCCCACCCACACCTGCCCAGCAAGGTGCGGTGCAGGAGAAGGGGTCCTGCATGGGCGGGGCTCACCTTGCTGGCACAGCGGAAGCCCAACCCCAGCTCCGCCAGGACCTTCAGCACCCCCAGGCTGCTGTTGCACTTGACGGCATAAAAGGGCCGGACCCTTGGCAGGCACTGCAGAAGGCTGAAGTGCCTCCTCACCACCACACCCAGGTCAGCCACAAAGAAGGCAGCCCCCGGGCCCTGAAACAAGAGGTGACGGACGTGAGACCCCACCCAGCACCCTCCTGCCCGCGCCTCTGGGTGCTGCCTCAAGTTTGGCTTTGCCCACAAAGCTGCCTGTGGAGACCACCCCCAGCAGAGCCCCGGCAGCACACAGAGCCTCCCGCGTGAGCCCAGGGAAGGTCGACGCCTCTTCTCACTCTCACTGGTGCACCCCTCTCTCCCACCTGGAGCTGCTCCAGCCTACAGCACTGAAGGCCATCGACTTCGGTCTGCATCAGCCCTGCGGTGCAGCCCAGCCCTCCCCTCAACTCCAGCTGCAGGTTGGGTCATTCCCCACCTCCGAGCCTTGGTGCCACTACACCCTCCACAAGGAACACCCTCCCCAGTGTCTGGAAAAATCCTGATCTACCTTCCAGTTTCAGCTCATGCCACCATGCCAGTCTGACAGGGCAGGTGCCTTTCGTGCGCCCCTGTTCTGCATGTCCTTCAAAGCAACAGTTCCCAAGTGTATGCATCTGTCCGCTCCAGAGAGGACTAAATTCCCTGAGGGCCACAGCGAGGGCCTACAGCCCCTGGCTTTCACATCCACGTGCTCAATGCAGCCTCGAGGTAGTCCCACTGCCACGGCGACCACGGTGGGCATGCATGAGGCAGTGGGTGAGACCACGTTATTAACCCTGACTCAGTCTCCCTCTCGTGCAGCACTTTCACGGATTCTCTCGTGATGCCAGGCACTGTGATAAGGGACAGGGATGACCAGATGGGGCTACCCAAGGAGGGAGTTCACAGGCCAGCAGCCGACATGGTGGTTGGGACACCAGGTTCCCACATGGCCAGACATGGCTTGAGTCCTGGACCCAATGGCTTGAAAACCACTCCAGGCGTGTGTATGCGTGTGCATGTGTGCATGCTGCATGTGCACATGCCCCAAATCCCAGGAGAACGGAGAAGGGATTGCTGCATGGCCATGGGGAGGCAGGAGCGTGGATTTCTCACTTTCCCTGTCCCCCTCTCTCGTCTCTCTCCTTCTGGCAAGCACACGTGCCCTATGGCGAAAATCTTTTTTAAAAATTATAAGAAAACAGTAGTTCAGCTCTGACCGCGCTCAGTGCACACTGTGAAAAAGCCAGAACCAGGCCATGGGCCAGAGAGGTTCTGCCAGGATCTGGGAGGCAACAGGGTGCCAGGGCCCCGGACTCAGAGCGCTGTCACACAGCTGGGAGGACTCCAGGGCGAGTGACACCTGGAGGTGGTTGGGAGGCCTTTGGAGAGGCTATTTAAGGAGGGAGAATTTGCAGAGCTCAGGATACAGAGGCTGCAGGGGAGGAAGGCGGACCCCCAGGTTTCTGACCAGAAAGGCGGTACTGGTGCTGCTACCAAGGCAGGGGGGACACAGAGGGGCAGGTCTGGGCACCAGGACCAGGAACTGGGGATAAAACGAACTGTCCCTTGCAACTAGCTAGAACCAAATTCCAAGTAAGTGAAGGAAGGAGATGAGGGCGCAGGCCCCAGCGCACAGGGGCCCCACCCCACTCCCAGCCCTCACCGTGGTGGCCTGTGAGGACCCCAGAGCGAGCTCCTCCAGCAGGTCGCGGACACTGAAGCCCTCCTCCACCATCACGAAGTCCGACTCGCTCAGGTAGCCAGCCATGCCGGAAGGGGAGCCAAGGGCCGGAAGGAGCCGCTGTTGCCGCCTTAGAAAGTATGCCACACTGCGGGGTGGGGGAGAGGAGGGGACGCTGGGGCAGGTCCATTGCCCCCTTCGCCTCCCCAGGACCCACCCCGCCCCCCGCAGCCACTGGAGAGCTTCTGTTCACTGGGAAGGGTGGGAACGGTCAGGAATCCTGCATTCTACGCGGGACAAGGCACTGACTGCTAGGCGCCGCCTCTCCGAGCCTCCATCGCTCCCT